ATCTTAACTGTTGTTAATAATATTCTGATATATTGAAACTGTTGTTAATAATTTTTTGATATATTGAAACTGTTGTTAATAATATTCTGATATATTGAAACCGTTGTTAACAATATTCTGATATATTGAAACTGTTGTTAATAATATTCTGATATATTGAAACTCTTGTTAATAATATTCTGATATATTGAAACTGTTGTTAATAAATTTCTGATATATTAAAACTGTTGTTAATAATTTTCTGATATATTGAAACTGTTGTTAATAATTTTCTGATGTATTAAAACTGTTATTAATAATAATCTGATATATTAACATTTTTATTAATAACATTAATAACATACTGTATTATCAAAGAATGGAATAACATACTGTATTATCAAAATGGACGATACTTGTATTTCGTAGATACGAATTTGGTATCATATATCATATTTGGTATTATAATGGGAGAAACTTACTCTGAAGAACAAGAGGAAGGCTATGCTGGAAATTCCCAGGATAAAATCAGGCAACCTTATTTTTCGGAAGTTCTCGAATATTTTTATCATATTGCCAGCGACGCTGCTTGCTTTAAACTTTAGTCCTAGAAGTCCTTGTAACTGTGACACGATTATAATAATCGACGTTGCTGACGTAAAACCCGATGTGACTGGTATCGATATGAAATCCACTAGAAAACCTGTGTGGTTTGTTCATTTTTTTTCAATTAGACGTTAAAATTATTGTAGAAAGCGCCTCACGTAACGAATACGACGTCATTCCGATGGTTTGCGACATAGTGATTGTTGGTCAATAGTCGGATAGATTTTTATCTTTATTTGTTAATTGGTATCCGTAGAATATGTCGAATTACGCGTCTGTGTTTTAAACACTTAAAAATTTGCGATCATGTTTATTTTGCAAATATACGAGACGTTATTGTATTTTTCTAAGTTTCAGTTTTTCAAATCAAATTGTGTAGCAAGAACGAAAAACAATTCATGCGATTAATAATAGTTTAGATAACACTAGATTGCCGGAGCAAGTCAATTTGACTCATTTACAACTTTATTGCTATATATTTATATAAAAAAAAGTTATTAATTTTATTATTAATATAAAATAATATTTCCGGCAATCTAGTGTTAATAACGTTTAATGTTGATAATATTTCTTAATTAGAAAATGATCTTTCTTAAAAAAAAAAAAACGAAATGCAATAGTATATTTATTTGTCTGTAAAATATAACAAACTAAGTAAATAAATTACCGTAGAAGACACCGATTTGATTATAATTAATTGTAATTGTTTGTAATCGATCATATTTCTCTCATTAATGATTTCGTAAAGCGACGTTTTGAATTTTGTCATTGCTATTATATCGTATTAAAGAAAGTATTCCAATAGATTCCCGTCCGCCCACGTGCGCTATCGTGTTAAATGATAACATAATTAGTATATTTCGACGTTCAGATATCTTTTCACTTTATCACTATTTTAATTATGGAAACTATACAAATATAATTAATAATAATAATTATATATATATATGTATATATATATAATATATAATTTTAATGTATAATATATATATAATAAATATATATATAATTTTATATATTATATATTATTATTTATTAATAGTATATATTATATATATATATATATAATTTAATAAAATAATTAATAATATTAATTTATATTATTTAATTAAATAAAGTGTTGTAATTAAATTAAATTGTTTTAGTAATTGTGAAATTCATAAACAATAATAATTTCACAATTACTAAAACAATTTAATTATTAACAATTTATATCGAAAACTCCGAAGTCAAGTAATATATTATTTCGACCAATAAATGTCTGGATCGAGATTTAAACCGATAATTCAGTTACCATAATGTTATCAAATACTATTCATCGAGTCAAATTCTCCGAAAGTGTACGGCGCGATCACGTTAAAAATATTTGTTGATACCAGCCTAAACGAAACAAGCCCATCAGTAATTCCACACAGCCAGCCAGGAAGCAAAACAACACGACAAAGTCCACCGGCATGTTCCTGGTGTACTCCAATGTTAATATCGACATCAGGGAGGATGGTCCGATCGATACTTCTTTAATTGTCCCGAAAATGATGTACACGAAGGAGCCCGTAAAACACGAATAGAGGCCATACTGCAATTAATTGTAAAAACCATACTTTCCTTATTAAAGATTTCCTATTTCTAAATTCCAAGTTGTGTCGCACGTTATACATATTACAACAATATAATTTTAATTCCAAAAATATTGGGTTGCTGCATTGTTCAAAATATATTCATCAATTATGGTTAATTTTCGTTAGTTTATTATAAGGATTCTCCCCTGATAATGAGGGTGAGTGTATAATTCATTGTAGCAACATCCAATGGCTGCCTTTAAACAACAAAATTTGTTCGGCCAATTCAATCGGTGAAATAAAATATTTCCACAATGTAAAAATTATTGATTCAGTATAAATATTGACTCAGTATTGAAATAAATTCATAAACATTATTCATATTCAGTACTTTCTTGTAAGGTTCCTCCCCTAATAAGCAACATCGTTTATGGCTTTTCTTACAAGTAATATAGTAATATTTTATATAATATAATATAATATAAATATAGTAATATAATATAAAATAAATATAATATAATATATTAGTAATATATTAGTAATATATTAGCTATAATATATTAGTAATATAATATAAAAATATATATAAAGCATATAATATAAAAATAGCATCAACGGTGTAACAAAATACCTCGGCAACTACAGAAAGATTCGTTCAACAAATCGTACAAAATCAATTCCCAGTTTCCATCAAACCCCACTACGTGCCATCCCTAACATAAAACACCCTGCCTCCGTTATTTCAGCTTAATAAGCGCTATGCGCGTCCCGTTCTCGCTGCTACGATTTCCCGAACATCGTCCACAACGAAATTCCCGACAAAAGATTCCCGACACGAAAAGAAAAAACACGGTAATACCTGTGCAGTGAGACCCGCCAACGCAGCGTACGCTATACTCTGCGGGATGAGGGTCAGTCCGAGGGAGAACCCGGCCACCAAATCCGAGACAGCATCGAACTGGGAATATTTCGGCAACCAAGACAACACTGGTACGTACTTCACTATCGAGCACTTCTTGCTATCGTTCTTTATCGGCGACTGTTCTTCCGTCGAATTCTTCGTCATTTCTCCAAGGGCAAGCACCGGAAGCAGAGAGGTACCGGAGGCACAGAGCAGACACGGGGACGGAGTGGACCGAAGAATGCGTTGGCATCAGTTCGAGGATCAGATGTTAGGATGACATTTCAGCTGGATAGTGAAGAAACGATGGAATGACAGGCGAAAAGCTGCCTGCTTGTGGAAGCTGTGCCGCACACTGGCGTAGCCACGCTATGTGATCACATTGCAAACATAACACGCGGTTCTATCCGGCTATCAGTGTATTTTCACGGCTCCCGAATTGTTATCGCTCGGCGTCTCTCTGGCCAAAGCTCAGGGCAAATAGCCTGGCGCCAGAAAGAGAAAGCTGCAGCTCGTAGTTCGCGTGCTAACCGGAAAATTTCGATACGGTCTGGATAACTTGGCCCACCGTTTTCGAACGTTCGCCGAAAATCCACAGAATTGTTTGAACTCGCGGAACTATCGGTTCGAGAAGAATCGCGAGTCGTATTCGCCCGGGGCTCGAACGACGAAGTTTGGGGACCGATCTAGGTAAGAAGGTAAGGCGATATGAAGTTCGGATTATGTAATAATGTAAAATATGAATTGTGAGCCATTGTCAGCTATTGCCAGCCATTGCGCGCAATTACGAGCATCTAAGGAGTTAAGTAAGCTTGAATCACTGAATGAAGGCTGTTAAGGTGACAGTGAGCTGCAGCAGAGAGGAGGAGATCGATCTTTGTTGGTTTCTTGACAGCGGATTTCGTTATTTATCGCAGAACTGGGTAGAGAAAATGAGGCCGAAGATTATTCATATCGTTTCGATATTAATACGATCTTGTTTGATCTGAAACTGAGAGAGTTTATTAAAGAAGCTCGACAGCAATGGTCCACCGAAACCGCCATTTTGTAATAATAAAAGTTCTAAGATAATCTCTAATTGTAAAAATATCTTTGGAATAAATTCTTACAGTTTTCCAAGCAAAGATCTGCACAGTTTTAGTTAACAAATAAAAGATAAGATCGAGGAAAGATATCAAGAATTTGGTAAATTAATGTTCGAATGGTATCGTAATAGATCGCATCGCTAACAATAAACGATTTACAAGTATTCGAATAGATTAGGAATTTCTGTTTTTATTTTTACAGGTTCAAAGAAGTTGCACAAACAACATAATTTTCTTCTTTTATTATTTCTCGCAGAAAATTACATGCTATATAATGTACTTTTTAAATATATCATAATGATTACTATATAAAACTATATAATAATGGTTACTATATAAAACAGAATAAAATTCGAGAGTTTGTTTTAAATCGTACTAAATATACAATATTATCTCTAATGCTATAAAAATTGTTTCCAATTTTGGCACTCACATTAACAGCGTTCACTAAAACTGTTGGTAAATAAGACAAGCGACAGATTTTCAGATATACGCTTCACATGATAGAGCTGTATTTTAGACGAAATAGAACATTGCTCTATGTTTACCTTCAGACAGCCTGACACGCATCTTCTATCTTGTGATTTCAGTTTAGTCAGATAGGAGATTAAACGAGAGCAATGTCATGAGTAAACGGTTCATTGATTCAATGCCAACATTTCCTACACCTAATTTCTAATCTTCCAATCTTGATATTTTATTCTTATATATTTATAACAATGCAAACATTCAAACTTGTTTTTTAAACTATTTGTCAATGTTTGTTTGCATCAACCGTAAAAGATTGCCTGATCGGACTTCTCTTTCTAATGGAATATTAATTTCATTGAATATTGTGAACAATAACATTAATAGGTACAAAAAACATTTTTATTTTATTTTCATTTTCGTGAGGCCTTGCTCAAACATTTAGATAAAGGTGCAACCGTATTTTCGAGATCTTGTATCTGTATTGAATAATTTAATTCAAATTGTCTTTAAAATTAATGTGCCGATTTTAATGTTTTTACCGATATGTTTCTAAAAGTTTAGAATATATTTTGCTAAATATTCCTACAATTTCTAAATTATATTTGATATGTAATGAAATATTTTAAAATTTCTACATGTCATTCGATATTTGACTAAATATTTCAAAATCTTCTTTGATACTTAATTAAATATTCCCATTAACAAAATCTTTGACACACATTCCGAGAAAATGTTTGTCATGTGATAAATCTCGTCACAAAAAAACAAAAATAGAACTTCGTATTTGATCCTAAGAGTTAAATATCTGAATATCTAACTAGGTTTGTCCCTGTATCACTCTTCCATTCCTATTTCATCAGCAAATAAAATCAGACGATAGTGGTGCAATAGAATCATTTTCATTAATCACCAGCAAACGTAGACTAAGCAAAATCTTATTTACCAGATACAAACAAACGTGTTAGGGCCTACAGTTAACGATTGACAGTAGTTATATGACTTTATAACAATAATTTCCTAATAGCCGCCATCATTCACCGATTGAATTTTCTCAATCCAAAACAAATCGTATGTGTTCTGATTTTGAATTTCAGTTTCTGAAGCTAGGAGCAAGTCTTTAGATTTTGGCCGAGACCCATAATTTCCAGCATAAATTACAAAATATTAAACAAACTCGCTGCACTAGAAACGTCTCGTTCTCTTTAAAAATTGTTTAAACATATTCAGCTATTCACAGTATTATAAAAATATATGCTTGCATTCAGGAGAATCTACAGAATCATTCTACCTAAGAATCATCCGTATAGATCAATGACAAATGGAAGATACTTAAAAAACAAGTAACTCAAACAGAAAGTTCTTCTGCAACTTTTAATACGTTAAATAATAATAGTAATAATAATANGACTTCTCTTTCTAATGGAATATTAATTTCATTGAATATTGTGAACAATAACATTAATAGGTACAAAAAACATTTTTATTTTATTTTCATTTTCGTGAGGCCTTGCTCAAACATTTAGATAAAGGTGCAACCGTATTTTCGAGATCTTGTATCTGTATTGAATAATTTAATTCAAATTGTCTTTAAAATTAATGTGCCGATTTTAATGTTTTTACCGATATGTTTCTAAAAGTTTAGAATATATTTTGCTAAATATTCCTACAATTTCTAAATTATATTTGATATGTAATGAAATATTTTAAAATTTCTACATGTCATTCGATATTTGACTAAATATTTCAAAATCTTCTTTGATACTTAATTAAATATTCCCATTAACAAAATCTTTGACACACATTCCGAGAAAATGTTTGTCATGTGATAAATCTCGTCACAAAAAAACAAAAATAGAACTTCGTATTTGATCCTAAGAGTTAAATATCTGAATATCTAACTAGGTTTGTCCCTGTATCACTCTTCCATTCCTATTTCATCAGCAAATAAAATCAGACGATAGTGGTGCAATAGAATCATTTTCATTAATCACCAGCAAACGTAGACTAAGCAAAATCTTATTTACCAGATACAAACAAACGTGTTAGGGCCTACAGTTAACGATTGACAGTAGTTATATGACTTTATAACAATAATTTCCTAATAGCCGCCATCATTCACCGATTGAATTTTCTCAATCCAAAACAAATCGTATGTGTTCTGATTTTGAATTTCAGTTTCTGAAGCTAGGAGCAAGTCTTTAGATTTTGGCCGAGACCCATAATTTCCAGCATAAATTACAAAATATTAAACAAACTCGCTGCACTAGAAACGTCTCGTTCTCTTTAAAAATTGTTTAAACATATTCAGCTATTCACAGTATTATAAAAATATATGCTTGCATTCAGGAGAATCTACAGAATCATTCTACCTAAGAATCATCCGTATAGATCAATGACAAATGGAAGATACTTAAAAAACAAGTAACTCAAACAGAAAGTTCTTCTGCAACTTTTAATACGTTAAATAATAATAGTAATAATAATAATAATAATAGTAATAATAATAATAATAATAGCAATAATAATAATAATGACGATGATAATAATAACAATAATGATGATGGCGATGACAATAATGGTAACAATAATATTAAGAGACAACAATAATTAATAATTAATAAACGTAATACTAATACATTATATTCAATTTATTTTTGATAAAATCTCTATGTAAAAATTCAGTTATAACACAATAGTAATAAGATCGTTTGGTGCGCTGGTTTGGCACATTGCTGCCATTTTTCCTGCCATTTACGTCAATCTCTTGTTCACCAGGTCAATCTGTTCATCAACTCTCTCTGACGTTCCCCGGAACTTGGTCGGTTTCAGGCCAACCATTTTGATGATCATGGGCACGTAATGGCAGCTGACCTGTGTCAAACGAGCCAACGACTTCATGCAAACGAACAGCTGCTCTTCCTCAGGTGTGCCATTGAAGTATTGGCACAGTGCCATTGTCAGTTCAGCAGCCACGTCGTCAAACACCTATGGGAGTTGCAAGAATAACGTGAGACACTTTAAAGGATTACTATGCTTGCTCAACTACACGCCTGCATGATCCTGCTATTTTCCTGAATGAAATGTCTTGTCAAACGCTAAAAGATTATTAGAGCTAATATAAATAGCTGATCCTTTAATCTGGCTGTTGGAAAATATATAAAATTAAAACTAACTGTTAGAAAATATTTAAAGTATTTAAGAATTTTATGTAGCAGCAATCTGCTACACAGTTTCTGCATTTGTACATTCAATTGAACATCAATGGACTAGAGACTAATATAATTGGAACAATGGTTTTTAATATATTTTTAAAGTTTCAGTGCTTGACATAAAATTTCAATCTGGATCAATTTCAATTGAAGCATTAAATCTTGGTCTTCTAACCTCTGGATAAAAAATAAAGAAAATAAAAACTCCCTTTCCTACATAATTGTACAGCATATGGTCAAATATCATATGAAATTAATTACAGTCCACGGACGACTTACCGTAACCCGGAATGGAATCACGTGTGTTCGTATAAATACCTTAGAAATGCTGCCTTTCGGTAAAAGCTGCCGCAGATTTTTCATTTTGTGCATTTTCTGAAAAAACAGTATCCGATCTCTCGAAAGGTATCCATTCCTTTTCACTGCAACGCAGTATTGTACACATATACATACATAGGCATACAAACGAGCAACGATACTATTTACAATAATAATTGATCTTTAACAAAGTCATAGTTCCATTCTTATCAAAACTTCATGTAAAATAATCCTTTATGGATATGGTGTTCTTTCAATACTTTGTTCTAAATGTTTAACTTCTCTATCAAATTTCGTTGCTCCTTTGTGACTCGGTTACAGAATTCCATAGAAAGTTAGGAGCCTCTTTGAAATTTACAGGTGCAGCTGATTTATTAATAAAGGCAGCACTTCTGTTGGCCAGAATAGTAAAAGCTTCTGTTGACACTTTGCTTAATTAGTAGTCCCTTAAGAAGATGCAAGAAGCATTTGTTAATACACTGAGATAATTCAAGAAAAGAATAAGAACATTAACATCTATCAATTTTGAAAAGAAGCTATAAATAAATCTAGGTAATATAGACCCATTGCAATATTTATGCCAATAAGATATTAACCAAACCACGTAACTGGCAGAAAAGTAAGAGACAGCTAATGTGTGCTTTCAATTAAGTAATTTCGACACATTTAATTGAAGTGTGTGAAGTAGATCCTGCAGGCGTGAGCTCAAACATAAGCAATAGATGAAGATCATTCGTCGGACAGGAAGGATACAGACCACAGTTTTTACCTCCTTGCAAGCCAGATTGTGAATGATGGCAGATCCGCGTGCCTGTAAGTCTGTTGAGCTTGAGAGCAACGCGTGTATCGCCACTTTCGTTGTCACTCTGATGTTGCTGATGCTTTGGTTCTTGTGCTGCCATAATGATATGTACAGCAGCCACTCGGAGCTGCTGAGATTCTCGAACAGGTTTGTTAACTGCAACGTATAACAATATTCTTGTATTTGAAGATGTTAATATAAATACAACTTCTTATCGCTAATTATCACTTACAAATTGGGTGAGAGCCAGTTGTTCTTCCGCAGGATGCAGGTCAAAATCGTAAGCATAGTTCATAATGATATGTTCCCGCCTGTCCTGGTGTAGCAGAAGAATCACGTCGTCTTTCAACGCAGCAACAGAAAGTATGTTGAACAATTTTACTCTTGCGTTGCTTGGTATCGTCTCATCCTCCAGAATTCGACCTGGACATGATACAGACATAGTTCAGTATCATTTGCAATAATATGTAGAAGAGCGACTTAGTATTCTAACAGCATTTATGGACTCACCTACAAAGTTTAGGAAATTGTCTCCCAGAGCCCAGGAGCCCTCATCCTCTAAAACATACTGCCTTAGTTTGTCCATGCACTCCTTCTCATCCTCATTCAATTTCTCAGTTACTAAACTGTTCAGGGTGTCATACTCCGCTTTCACGTCCACCAAATCTTTGAACACTATAGGGGGCTCTGCTGGCAGGGATTCCGGGGTTTCTTCGAAGCTCAACAATTGAGCTTCGCTGATCTGCGGTGCAGCTGATAACAAACAACTACGTTTTAGTATCCATAAAGCATTACACATTTCTTTCTTTTCCAACTGAATCTAATGATACCTTCGCTTTCCGCCATTTCTGAACAATTGCTGGGCCCAGTACTGTTTGTATCACTGATATGGTTCGTTTCCGGGGAGTGTGTCTCTCCTCTACTCTTGTGTTTCTTCTCCTTCTTCTTCTTTTTCTTCTTCTTCCTGTCCTCTTTGGCTAGCTTCTCGTTCAGCTCGTTCCTTCTTTCCTCCAACGCAATTGAATTCAATCTGCCACGAAATATCAATAGAATTAATAACAGAGGCTAAGTGAGGCTGAAAGTTAAAGATGATTACCGTGCTTCCTCAATGGCCTCATTTAAAAGCTCAAACTCTGGCGAGACTTCCCTCTGATTTCGCGTCGTTAAGAATGCTGCACCAACTGTAAACAGTGCCGATCCACTTGGACTGCTGCTCAGAGTCTCTATCAGCGTTCTCAGCCCTTGTCCAATAGGCCTGCACATAAAATTCAAACGATTTCGGTTAAAGGTTTCCTTCATTTAAGTGTTTGAGGATGTAGGGGGTTGTTTTGCTCAAGATATCGTAACAGAGATTTCCGTTAATGATTAGTAATTAATTGAGGTTTGATAAAATCTTACAATTGGAGGATTTCTTCTGGTAGATCAAGGATGTACTTTGGAATACCTTTGCCGGCCAGAAAGTTGCTTACTTCTTCTGTGAAACAGTTGCAGTTGTGCTTGAATAAGTTGTAGGTTCCTGGGCTGGAAAACAAATATGATTTCAATTAATGTTCACACGTTAATCGTTGCATTCTGTATATTATAGAATGTTTATGTATTTATTGTAGAGTTTATACAAAAGTTCTGAGATAACTGACTTTTCAACTGTTACAAAAGAAGCAAGATACAAGAAGATCTAGCTACGACTACCGTGAAATCTTGAAAAGTAAGCTCCGAGGATTCGGGGTTATTTCGAGTCCAAAAATTTCCCTGCCCCTTAGATCTGTTTTTATGAAGTTATTATTAGACTACGGATGTTATGCATTCTAAACGCCGAGGGCACAGCAATCAGGCTTCACACGACTGTCTTGATAAATTTAAAATTCTCTCGCGATTTAACTTCGCAAAATGCAATAACTCAAATGCGAATAGAGGACCTAGAGAACATGTTCACGCTTGCATGTTCCAAATAACAGTCCACTTATTATTCGTGAATTTGTGACGCACGGTTTATGAATCATGCAGTAATAACGAAATTGCGAACATATATTGAGATACATAAATAAAGATGCAACATCGAGGTATGTGGAGCACTTAGTGTGTGGGAAAACATAATATATTTGAGAATTACTATTTATTATTTAAACGCGTATAATATTCGATAATATAGATAGAAGTGTGTTTAGCGTAAATATTTTCAAAGAAATGGATAATTTTACTTCATTAGTATTTCAAGCAAACATTTGCAGTTTAAATAACTTAGGCTATCGAGTATCTAATATAATGTTCTGGTGTACAATTTCAACATTTTACGATCTTCCTCGGTGTTTGGAAAATATACAAACGATATTCAGAATAAATTCGGAATGTGATAGAATAATTGTTCAATATTTAAATATAAATAACGTTAACACTTATAATTGTATAATTTAAACATTTACAATCTAAATCATTTGGACTATTTAATATAACGTTTCGTGTTGCATTTACAACAATTTGTAATCACTTCTAGTGAATAAAAGAAATATGGAAACAACAAACGAAGAATACTTAAAACAAGCAACGAAATTATAAACAGAAAATAGAAACAAGGAAAACAATGCACTAGTAATTTAAATATCAGCCGAACGACTACGCTAATACTAAGCTGCCCATAAAAATAAAAAGACCATGTAACTGGAACAAAGATGGCGGAGTAGGCGAAACAAGTAGCCAGCTGATTCCCGTTACAAAAGTGACAAAAAAAAATCACGAAAGCGCAAAATCGTTTAAAACCCATCACCGAAATATCTCCACGCAACCATAATCAACTGATAGAAACAATAAAACATCATCGTACACCGGCGAAGACGTTAAAAATCACGAAACACAGAGGCGAAAGAAGAAAATCACTGATTAACATTTAAAGTTCCGGTCGAAACGATCGGTTCCGCATTGTTTGCTTGAAAATTGTTCAAACTATAAAGAGGCGATCAAATTTCACAATTCGGCCGTACATTACGATAAAAATGGTGGCTATTGCGAGGCGGCACACACACACATACACGCTGTCGTTGCTCGTTTCAAGTGTTAATAAGCGAAGTTACGCGCACAATAAACTTAAATGGCTAACATGAACTCACGCGAACTTGAACGTCCCCAGGCCGTTGATGTACTCGAGGAAGATGGAGTACGACAGGTAAGTGACGCCGAGACTTTCCACCTTGTCCGGCTCGCCTAGCACCGTGCCACCCTGAAACGGAAAAACCGTGTTCTTCCGGGATGATGTATCGGGAAGAAATTGTGCATTCGGAAGCGCGCCAATGTCAATTTTACGGAGGTGTCGCGACGCTCTGCAGCGTCGCCCCCGACGCGCACGCAATTTTAGAACCGTGACAAACCGAACGGGTTCCCTGCGGGAATCGCTCGAAATAAACCGCCGGATTCGTCGTGTATCGGCCCGAGGCGCTCTCTGGGATCCGATTGAACGATTATGCCAATCGAAGGAGAAAAAGAATACCGGGATCGGGGGTGAACAGCCCCGTATGCCGCGATAAGAAGCCGCTTGGATTTCGGACATTGATGGGGGATGTGACTAGGTGAACGTTTAAACAGTGGCAACACTACGGTTGTTCAACATTTTTATACATTGTTTCCGGTTATTTTGTAATTGTTGAAATTTCCTACATATTACATTTATAAGAAATATTGACTGGAATTAATATTAGCCCCATTTAAGATCAATTAAATTAAATTTCTATCAGGAATTAATTATAATTCACAAATGTATATCAAAAATATAATAAATAAATTTTTATAAGAATATACAATCAATCCATCTATTTACAATTTTTATGTGCAGTTTAATTAGAAACTCTTTGTAATTTAAATTTCTATTAAAGATCAATTAATTTAGAATTTACATTTAAATTTCTATTAAAAATTTGCTACGATTTGAATATATAATAAAAATTTATTCGCAACGAGCTTCCGTTTATGTTGGTCCTAGGGTGTAAACAGTTATGGTTAATTACGTTTGGTAATTCTGTCAGGTAGACAATAATAAAATAAAAGAAAGCGAAATAAAGATTGAATAAAATGAAACAAAGATAGAAATAGCATCCATTCGTGATTTACAATCGAAAAAGGGAGGAGTGCAGCTCTCGCCTATAGTGTGCGCAAGGTGCAAACGATAATGGCTCCTAACAGGTTCGAAAAAGATGAATAAAAGGTTTGACAACAGTGGCGAAATAAAATAAGAAGGTATGAAACAAAATGAAATAAAAGCAAGACAGAAATGGTGGTACACGCAACTACCAAGAAAATAATTGAGCTTGTGTATAGTGATTGGAGGGTACGAACAGTTATGGCTGCCACCAGGTACAGACAAGAACAACAATAAGATTTAATAAACGTTAACAAAATAAAAAAAAAGTAAAACAAGATTTTTCTGAAATAAAATAAAATAAAATAAAAATGAAAACAAAAATAAAAATAAAAATAAAAATAGAAGTAGCGTTCACTCGTGACTTCGAATGAAAGAAGAAAAGTATCGTGGCCATACTGATCGCAAGGCACAAACAATTATGGCTTTTCAGAAAAGATGAACGAACGGTTAACAAATAATAAAAGACCAAAATAACAAACGGTGTGAACCGAGAATATAGCGATAAACAATATTTCTCCTTTAATTTCGACGAACCAAGGCAAGAATCGAGCTTTCGGCTATAGTGGTCGCGGGGTACGGTCGGTTATGGCTTCGGATCGGTTCGGAAAATGGAGGTTGAAGCGTACCTCGATACGGACCGGTCCATGCAGCTCCTTAGAGGCAGATCGTCGTCGGACTTACCGACAGCTTTCGCCCTGGTCGGACCTAGACGACCGGGATGTACCATAAGCCGGAGAGAGTGACGAGAAACGGGCAGCGAGAGAGTGAGAGAGGAGTGAAAAGAGAATCGAGTAAACCGGCAGGCTAATTTTAGGAGCAACCGGACCAAATTTAGTACCCGCTCGTGTCTAACGTATCGTATGGCCAGAATCGCTGCCGGTAGAGCTCTAGCCTCGTGTGGAAAGAGAGAGAGAGAGAGAGAGAGAGAGAGAGAGATGCTGATCGGTCAGGATTCGGATCACACGCGAGTACACCTATGTGTTACCACCTAGCATTTCTAGTCATTTCTTTTTCACCAATACCGAATTCCAGCTGTCTGGGATCGTTCTTAACACAGGGAGCAGCGAGCAATTAACCCTTAGCCTGGGTTCGCTTTTGCTACATTGTTGGGCACCCGAGCTACATTTTCAGCACTCCAAATAAAGCTGATGGACAATCGACGTTCTCTTTTTGCGCGTGCACTACTGCACTGAGAAGCTTTATGCAGAGTAAAGATTTTCTGACTGTAAGAAACATGGAGGGAATGCGAGCTCGTTTTCACATTTTGTAGGTTTGAAAATGTGACTAGAATTAGTATAGAAATAGTATAGAATTATTATAGAATTGTTATAGAATTATTATGAAATTATTATAGGATTATTATAGAATAATGTAGAATAGTACAGAATAGCATATATATATAGACACATATAGCATAGAACTAGAATTAGTATAGAAGTAGTATAGAATTATTATAGAATTGTTATAGAATTATTGTAAAATTGTTATAGAATCATTATAGAATA